ATAATGTCCTCGCTTGTATAGGATCGAACAAAAATTAGCTGGTCTTCGTCAAGGATCTTCTGATGTTAACACATTTTACACCAAGCTTGTCACGATTTGGGAAGAGGTCAAAAGTGCTCAAAGCTTTCCAGTATGTCAATGTAATGGTTGTGACTGTGAAGTCAATCGAAAATGGATGGATCTCTTTGAACAAAACTTTGTGATTAAGTTTCTTTTTGGCTTGAATGATTCTTATGAGCATATCAGAGAATCGATTGTGATGATAGATCCATTGCCTGACTTGGAAAAGACACTCAACATGGTTATCCAACATGAACACCAACAAGAAATCAAGCATGTGCCTCAATCCGGTTCAGTGGTTTTTCAGATGAGTTCTCAAAATACTTCATCTCCTCAGTTTGATTCCGTTTATCCTTCTTCTCCAACTACTGAGGGTTACTCTAGTCAGAATGATTTTGTGGGAGCTGTCTCAGGAGGTTACAAGCCTCGCCAATGTCCAATGTGCACTTACTGTGGTCTACAGGGACATATTGTCACCAAATGTTACAAGTTGCATGGCTACCCTCCTGGTTACAAAACCACCACTCCATCTTATGGAAATCAGACTTTTGGAAATCAGTCTTATGGACATCAGCAGAGTACTCCTAACTTTGCTCCAAAACAGTTTCAGCCTCGTGCTCCTGCAACTTCTTTTCAGCAACAACAGTTTTTGGGTCAGCAGGTTAACAACAACAATCCCAGAATGCAGGGTCCAAGAGTTTCAAGAGACAATGTAGTGGGAAATGTAATCACTAATTCACCTGCTGTACAAGATCACTTTCATCAGGTCTCAAATGCTTTGGCACAATTATCTCCGGATCAGATTGAACAGTTAGCCAGTCAGCTCAACACTAAAGCTAATTGTCAAATGCCTAGCATCAATGAAGTTCCGGGTGTCAATTATGCTTCTACTTCAGCAGGTAACTCCATTTGCACTACTCTTCAGGAATCATGCCTTAATTTCACTGCCTGGATTATTGATTCTGGTGCAACAACACATGTTTGTTGCAACTTAAGTCTGTTTGATGTCATCAATAGTATTTCTGAAACTACTGTGAAACTTCCAAATAGTACTCAGATTGCTATCAATCAATCTGGTACTGTCAAGTTATCAGATAAACTCATCCTTCACAATGTGCTTTTCATTCTCTCTTTTCATTTAAATCTTATCAGTGTAAGCTCTCTTCTTCAAGATTGTGCATACTCTGTTAATTTCTTTCCTTCCTTTTGCACAATTCAGGAGTTTACTCGGGGCTTGATGATTGGTAAAGGTCGTTTGGAAAACAAACTCTACTTTCTGGATTTAGAGTCTCCATCATCACAGTCTCCATCCTCTTCTTCTCTTGTTTGCAATCTCAATGTTTCTGAGTCTAGTTCACTTTGGCATTCAAGACTGGGCCATCCATCTTTTTTAAAGATTCAAGCTCTTTCTGAAGATCTCTCTCTTTCAAAGTCCAAGTTCAAAGATTGGTCTCATTGCAAGACTTGTCATTTAGCAAAACAAAAACGTTTAGCTTTTCCTTCTTCTAATAATCTTTCAAAACAGCCTTTTGATCTTGTTCATTTAGATGTTTGGGGACTTTTTTCTGTTATTTCTAATGAAGGATTCAGATATTTTCTCACTCTTGTCGATGACTGTACAAGAGTGACTTGGATTTATCTTTTAAAAGCCAAAAGTGATGTTCTTACTGTTTTTCCTTCTTTTTTAAACACTGTGGAAACACAATTCAATACTAAAGTCAAAGCTATTCGATCCGATAATGCTAAAGAATTATCTTTCACTTCTCTTCTAGAATCAAAAGGCATATTTCACTATTTTTCTTGTGTTGACACACCACAACAAAATTCTGTGGTTGAAAGAAAACATCAACATATTCTAAATGTTGCAAGAGCTCTTCTTTTCCAATCAAACATTCCTATTCAATACTGGACAGATTGTATCCGTACTTCTGTTTTTCTAATCAATAGAACTCCTTCTCCTTTACTTCAAAACAAAACTCCTTTTGAGCTTCTCATGAAAAAGAAACCAAACTATTCTCACTTAAGAAACTTTGGCTGCCTTTGTTATGTGTCAACATATCCCAAAGATCGACACAAATTCACTCAAAGAGCAGAAGCTTCTATTTTCTTAGGTTATCCATCGGGTTACAAAGGTTACAAGGTCCTCAACTTGGAAACTCATTCAATTTCCATTTCCAGAAATGTACTCTTCCATGAAACTATTTTTCCTTTTCTTTCCTCAGCTCTTGATCCTACCACTCTTGATCTTTTCTCCTCCAATATCCTTCCTCTTCCAATTTTTGATACAACAAATTCTCCCCCTCAAACACTACTCCCTTTACCTTCTGATGTTTTATCTGATAACACAAGTTCTACAGTAGCATCAGAAAATACTACTGTTGATAATGCAAACAGACCTAAGCGCAATATTCGTGCTCCTTCTTACTTGGCTGATTACCACTGTAATCTGGTTCATAACATGCCTACTCCAAGTGGTACAACAGCTCATCCATTGTCTTCTGTCCTTGACTACTCCAAACTGAATGGCCATTATCAACAATTCATTATGAACATCTCCTCTGAATCAGAACCCAAGACTTTTCTTGAAGCTGTTAAATCTGAAAAATGGCATGGTCCTATGAATGAGGAGTTACAGACTTGTGTAAACACAGGCACATTCTCAGTAGTTTCTTTACCTGAAGGAAAGCGACCTATTGGCTGTCGTTGGGTATATAGAATTAAGCACAACGCAGATGGGACAGTGGACAGGTACAGGGCTCGTTTAGTAGCTAAAGGGTTCACACAACAGGAGGGTGTGGACTATATCGATACATTCTCCCCTGTGGCTAAACTGGTTACAGTGAAATTATTTTTGGATTTAGCTGCTAAACATGGTTGGTCTCTTACACAATTGGATGTAACAAATGCTTTTTTGCATGGGGATCTTGATGAGGAAATATACATGGATTTGCCACCGGGTTATACGCCTCCTCCTGGTCAAGATTTGCCTCCAAATGCAGTATGGAAGTTACATAAGTCTTTGTATGGATTGAAGCAGGCATCAAGACAGTGGAATAAAAAGTTCTCTGAAGTGTTGTTAAGAGATGGCTTCATTCAATCTGAATCTGAGCACACGCTTTTTCTCAAACATGACAACAACACCTTTATTGCTCTCTTGGTTTATGTTGATGACATAATGATAGCAAGCAATAGTGATGACGCTGTTTCTGCTTTGAAGAACACTTTGGCTGTCGCTTTTAAGTTGAAAGATCTTGGTCCTGTCAAATATTTCCTTGGTCTTGAGATAGCTAGAAACAAGAATGGTATATCAGTTTCTCAACGCAAGTACACTCTGGACTTATTGGAGAGTATTGGTTTACTAGGCAGCAAACCTGTAGCTACTCCAATGGATTGCACCATTCAGCTTCACGCAGAGAGTGGAGCTCTATTACCTGATGCTACCAAATATAGAGCTCTTATTGGGAAGCTTCTCTATCTCACAATAACAAGAGCAGATATTACTTATGCAGTTCACAAATTAAGTCAGTTTCTGGCACAACCAAGAACATCTCACCTAGAGGCTGCATATCGCATTGTCAGATATCTAAAAGGTGATCCAGGACGCGGTTTGTTTTACTCTGCTCATTCAGAGGTAAGACTGCAAGGTTTTTCAGATTCAGATTG